ACACACCACTGTACCGTTCACTCTGCTGTACTGAATTAACCTTTTCACCTGTTTGCCTCCGTCAGGGCAGGGCCGGGCCTTGCTGTGTGTTGCTGTTCCTGGAACTCATGGAGGCTGTAGTTTAATAAATGTCTGCTGGGTAGTGAACCCCTGGCCCCTGGTCACTGTCTAGTCGCTGTCTTTGCTATCGTTTATTTACCAAACGTCTTGTTGGGCCTGCAGCAAGGGAGACCCTACAGTAAGTGCCTGGGTTTGGATGCAAAAATGAGTAACACTACCCTGGGCCTGAGAGACGCCTTTTTGTCTGGACAAATGCAAAACTGGATAAGATGCCAAGAGAACAGATGTAAACCAGGACCGCCCCAGGCAAACCGGAGCATATGGTCACCGAAATTACATGCCAGCAGTACCCCGCTGACTCACGCCCACACTGTTAGCCTCTCATCCCTTCCAGAATTTTCTTGCGTGGGTCAGTTACTCTTCATTAATGCCTGAAGCATTTATGCTTTTCATTGTCATCTATGTAGAAATTATCCTTGAAATTTCATATTCCTAAAGCATTACATAGACTGGGGGCCTGTAAAAAAGACATACTGTTTCCTTCAGAATTACACAGAGAGAAAATTGGTTAATGAATACCTGAAACTCTTTTCAACATTTTCTGATGTACTAAATCACATAGGTGTAGTCAGTGTGTGAGGACCATGATATGTTTAGATTTTTTACTAAACTGGTTTATTCTCTTTACTTTTTAAGTTAACTTTATTGGTACATTTTAGGTATACACCATGATAACATTCATCATAGGAAATTTGTATCTGTTCATCATCTATCTTGATTTTTCTTTTTTTCCCATTCCCCTCCCCTCCCGTAAACCCCTTTTCCTTTCCTTTTTTGTTTTGTTTTTACGTAGGTTTGTTTTTTGTTTTTTGTCTTTTTGAGACAGGGTCTTGCGGTGCAGTTCAGGCTGACCCTGAGCTCATTTTGTAGCCCAGGCTGGCCTCAAACTCGCAGTGATCCTCCTCCCTCAGCTTCCTGAGTGCTAGGATTACAGGCGTGCGCCACTGCGCCCAGCATCCCCTCCTTATTTACAAAAGCTTTGTTTCTATGTTTTTCCTTCTATTCTCTTTTTCTCCTTTTCCCTTCCTTCCATTTCCCCTCTCCTTTCCCTTGTTACCCTTCCCTCTTGGATGTAATCTTCCTATTATACAATATCTAGCATGCATCCTTGTTCTCTTTATTGTTGGTCCTTTGGGTATTTCCAGCTTGAGGTCATTGGGAACATCTCGCTTTATATTCCCTTTCTTTCTTTTGAGTTGTTTCTTTGCAGCATGTACTCCGAACTTAAGTAACCTGATGGGAGGACGGGAACACTTTGATACCTCATCTTTCCTTTCTCTGGGTCACGTTGCTCTCCTAAAATTCTGAATCAATTTACCAAACCCATTTACCTGTTTTCCACATTTCTGACAATAATTTAAATTATGTCAATATACTAATAAAAGCTTAGGGTCATTTTAGGGTGTTCTTTGTTTGCATTTTTAATTGCTGCAGGAGTTACTCTTCACACTCCAACCAAAAGCAATTTCAGTTTTTGTGAAAACATACTACGATATAAATCTATACTTTATAATTACATGGTATGTTATAGGTATTTACCAAATATTTGTGGAAGGAATGAATTCCTGATTCATTAAAATCAGTGCTGTCCAGGGAGCCTCGGGCAGGGAGCACTGGTCTTTGGACCGACGACTCACTCCCGGCCTC